TTGCAATACTCCACTACCTCCTCTAGGATTTGACAAGTTTCTGTAGTGGCCAAGCTGGTACATACTTTAGATGTTTAAAAGTGACAGGAATCTCTGCCATTTCCCATCAGATACAATACAGATTTTCATTTACTATCATAGCCACAGCAAGGAGTTTCAGAACCTTCTTAGTCTCTGCAATATTTCTCAACCCCATAGGCTAAGAAACCAATTTTAAGGTCCTGCCAATTACCAAATATGTCCATTAGTACTGTTCAGGGGCCAGGGAAATTATCAATAAAAAAGTGGGTCAACTTCTTCAGGAAACAGGCTCTGAGGAGTATTCCAAGGGTTTGTTGAAGAGTGTGGTCAACAATAACATCTGGGAGGAAATATGGGCAGCAGCATTGGGTAGTGAAAAAAATGAATTATGGTACAATTGCAATGAAAGCTTCAATTGATTCCATAGGAGACTCTGAAGCTGAGACAACCCTTCAAAGTTGTATCAAATTGAGACTTTTAAACTTCACTGACCATGAATTGAATTCATTATGCCCATAGGCAATAGGCAGTGCCCTTCAGCTAAAGGTAATTTCTGGGGGAGAATTTAGATATGAACCAACAGCAGGCAACACCTATGGCAACTGGCAAAATAAGTGACCCCATCCTTAAAACGGGCATATTGGTGATTCATCATAACATCCACCACGAGAGTTGCCAAGTTTAAAAATTTCAAAAAGATAAAAATATTACATGGTATACCTATACAAAAAGTTATCCCTTGTTTATGTAAAATTCAAATTTAAGTGAGCACTGTGTATTTTAGCTGGCCACTGTGTCTACTACACATGTACTAAAGGGCAAGTACAAAAAAGAATTTCAAAGATATTAATACATTACTCCTTTTGTAATCTTAAACTTTAGACACTACTAATCACACAACGATGTGGGAACCAAAAATAAAAATTGGTTAATCTGAATAATTTTTGCTCTACTCAGAATCCTGAGTGGTGTAATTATAGGGATTCAGTGCTGCTAACTACATTGTAGTATTGGAAGCAGAAGGATGTTTAGAAAGAACACTATTAAGGTGGGTGGATTGTGGGAAACACAGTACACAGTATACAGAAAGGGAAAGATTAGAACAGAGGCAGCAGGAAAACAGGAAGGGATGAGAACAGACACCCCTGAAATAGATTCAAAGAATTTATTGACTATATGATATAGAAAAAAATAAAGTTAACAGAATCTAGTAAAACTGTATGCTCTTGATTTTATGTAATAAAAGGATAAGACCGAGAAAAATGATACAAGGTATATGTAAAACAAAAGGATAAATAGTTTCACAGGGAGAAAATTATACACTTGACATATCATTCATCACAATGTGTAATATATGTGAATACTATAACATTAGAGTATTCATATGCACCAAGCTATTGATTTTGGTCAGTTAATCATTTTCCATTAAACATATTTCATGTGGAACTTTATACTTAACCACCTGGCATTTCTACAAGCTGTAGTCAGGATGTTAAATTACAGGAGTAATTTCATTAGCTAAGTACATGTATATGAGGTCTGTCCAGAAAGTATCCAGCCATGTAATATGAAAAATAGAGACATGTATTGAAGAAAACACAAGATACAAGAAACACTGTACATAGAACGATGTCACGTAAGTCTTCTTCACACTAGGCACCTTGGAACCTCACACAGTTCTCCCAGTGTCTCTTCCACTGTTCAAAACACTCTGCAAAATCCTTTGTTGGAATTATCATCAGCTGCTCCATCATATTTTCCTGTAGCTCATTGATGATCTTAAATCTCTTCCCTCTCAAAGGCTATTCTAGTCTTGGGAGAAGTCAGAAGTTGCAGAGCACCAAATCTGGGTTGTAGTGGGGGCTGAGTCACCTAAGTGATTTGCCAAAAAACTCTGCACGGGATGTGATGCATGAATGGGTATATTTTCATGATGAAACTGCCAATTTCCACTCACCCATAGCTGCAGCCTTTTGAATCATTCAAATAGTTTTCGCAGAGGAATGTTCAAGCTTAACACAAAATCTGATGCAAATTCATTGCTTTATTTGCTTAGTCATTTGAATGTGATGGCCACACAGTACACACACATGCTCACTCAGTGGCATCTACAGACCCCACTAACTAGTAAAGTGAAGTCATCATTGTTCACACATGTGCATTCTAGTCCACTCTCCTTGGCTGCCAGGTTACATTGATGCCACACAAACTGATCTCATTATATTAACAATGGCTGGACTTTTCCCAGACAGACCTTATATACACAGTTCTGAGAAACAGTAACTATCAAATTTAAAATTTTAATTGAAATGGTGATTGACACAAGCTGGGGGGGGTAGGGGAAATGGGGAAATACTGGCCAAAAGGTACAAACTTCCAGTTATAAAATGAATATGTTCTAGGGATCTATTGTGCAGCATGCTGACTGCAGTTAACAACACCGCATTACATATTTGAGTGTTGCTAAGAGTAGTCTTTTTTTTGAAACTCAAAATGAGAATTTTATTATAATTTGTGTTATAAATACCTAAGAAACTATTTTCTTTATACTGTTATTGCCATAAACATCTTAGCTTGTGTACGATTTCACATACTTGAAAAATGTGTTTCTTGGCTTTAGCCCCTAGAGACCCCATAAGAGTAGTCTTAAATGTTCACCACACATACACAAAGAAGGTGATTATGTGTGGTGATGGATGTGATGGAATTAATCTTATTGTAGTAATTATTTCTCATTACATTTGTATCATACACCTTAAATTTCAATTACATCTCAATAAAGCTGGAAAAATTAAATTCATTAATTAAATTTTAATTGAAAGAAGATTTTATGAAATGTGTTTTATCTACATTACTGAAGATACTCTTCAAAAGTAGAGCTCTGGTCTTTTATACAAAGGGAGAAACTACCACCACCATTACCCCTAGTAATGCTACCTTCCTAATTGGTGCTCTTCCACTACCCATTTTATATTATGCTGTCAGTTGATTTTTCCTAAACCACACCATCTATCACATTGCTCCTGCATTATTTTCTGATTCAGAGCAATTTTTTGTGCGTATCACAGCAGAACCCTCCATAGTATCCTCCAATGCTTGGATGTTTCGCTGTGTAGTATGGTTTGGGACCAAACACAATATTTAGAAAATCAATATAAATAAGGGTTTCCCTATTTTCCTTCAAAACTCTAAATGTAACATTACACTTGCATTCTGTGATGTTAATTTCAATCACCAGTAAGCCAAAATTATTCATTTCTGGGATTAAAATATCCACTATAAATATCAATAAGCAAAACAAAATCTGGTTTATGAATTGTGTTTTGCCAATCAGAAATCTCTTTTAATAAGCATCGTACACTGTCTCCCAAAGAAAATGTATATAATTCATGTTTATATAACTAAAATGACATTATAAAATATTATTTTTGCATTATGTATTTTCCATCCAAATGGGCCATTCAGGATTCTACTATAATTATTTGTAAATTATTAACTGTTAATTTCCAATTATTCATGTGTGGATGATCCATCATAGTCTTTCAACCCAAGATGGCCTTTCCCTGGAACTGAGTATATTTTTAGACTAACTTCTTAGTTTATTAGGTTTCCTTGTGTGTGTTTAGTAAATACAAGTGTAGCTGAAGTCATAACACAGGCAGGAAAATAAATCTGCTGCTGATATAATGGCATTTCAAATCCAAAAAAATAATTATTTTATGATCCATAATCCCTTTAGGTTTTGCAAATTTGTACTCCCTTCAATTCGTATAATGAGTATGGATAGCATAGCAAATCACACTACATGCACACAGTAAGTATAACCTTTCCAGACCTGGATATTTTCCATGCACTAAACAAAATGTCAAGCACATAGTAGTTATAGTTGTGGAAAGTTGTCTCTAAACATTATTTTTATTCTCCTGTTATTTAATTGTTATAGCTAAGGATAAAACAAAAGAACAATAAATTTAATTACAATTTAAGTGGTTATATTAAAATTCTTAAGGGGAATAAACCCTTACTTCTCAGCTGTGATGGATTATTAGCAGCTCTTTCTGATTAGTTTTACTTAAGATTACCTGGGTTTCACTTTTCAACCAAAAGATGAAAATACCATCTACCTTGTATCTCACTAGTAATAATTTCTGGTTAAAAATAAAAATGAACTAATAGTGTATATACATTAAATTGTGATGTAATGATAACTGTCAACACTTATATAACTCTTATGTCAGGTACTATTCTAAGTATTTTCCCCTTAATTATTATACAAATTTTAGAAAATATTTTCCATTGTTATCCTTATTTTAACATTTGAGAAAAAGAAGGTGCAGAGAAGTTAACTAACTAGCTGAGGCTTCTGTAGCAAATAAGGCAGAACTAATATTTGAAACCAGTACAACTTGGTTTCAAAGCTACTACAAGTCCACACTGCCTCCCTGTTGAAGTATCTGACCTTTTTTTTATTGTTGTTCAAGTACAGTTTTCTGCCTTTTTCCCTTCTTATTGAGGACACAAACAAATGGTGCCTCCAGCTCTCTCCCATAGATACCTGAGTAAAACTAGAACACCAAAGTGTCTTTAACTCTTCCACTAAGAGCCGACTCTGACAGCGCAGGCTAAGTTAGACAACCCTGCTGTCCTATTCTCCCCTCTTCCATAGTGCCACATGTGCTAGTATGTCATTTATTTCTTTTAATTCCCCAGTTGATTGTAATTCTTTGAAACAAGGAATATTGAAAGAGTGGAACACAACACAGGCTGGAATGTAGCAGAGGTTCAGTAAATGTCTCCTGGGTGAATGTTCTTACTGCTTTCAGGTCTGCCTATTGGCATTCCAGACTGCATCATATCCACCAACCACCACCACCATTACTCTAATATCAACTTTTGCAATTATCCACATCATGACGAATTTTACATTTCACTTTGAAACAAAGATAGGAAGAGCTATCCAAGCAGGGGAAATGTCTTACCTTCTAAATCTTCTTTCTCAAAGTGTGTTTTGAGAATAGAACGAGTTCCACCCCTATCCACAACTGCCTCTTCATCATTTCTCTGTGGGATGGGAAAAAAGAAAACCAAATGATAGTACATACATTCTCTTAATTGCAGAAAATAAACTTTTTTCAGAGATAAAAATGTTATTTATAAACTATGTTAAAGAAATAACAATATGATTAAAATTAATAAAGACATTTTAAGGTTAGAAGCTCATTTTCTTGTTTTCAACATTTTTAAATTAAATATATTGAGGTGACATTGGTTAATAAAATGTCAAGTATACAATTTTATGATACATATGTACGTTGCATTATGTGTGCTTACTACCCAAAGTCAAATCTCCTGTCATCATACTTGGGCCCCTTTAGCCTTTACTAATCCCCTCACCCTTCTTTCCCTCTGGTAACCGCCATACTGTTGCCCATGTCTATGAAATACTGCCATTGCAACAACATGGATGGACCTAGATAACATCACGCTAAGCAAAAGAAGTCATGCAAAGGAAGTCAAAAACCATATGATTTCACTCATCTTAGGGTATAAAACTAAAAGCAACAAATGAACAAAGGCAAACAAACATAAACACATAGACAACAGGAAAGTAAACTTTTAATATGATCTAATATTTTAGGGATTCAATTAAGTCACTTGTACATGATTATTTTATTTGATTGTCAAGTGTTAGTTTAAGGAATATAAAATTAATTTGGCTGCACATATTCAGAGAACGAATATCAACCAATTTTCCATGAAATTGAAGGCAATCAAACAGTCCAGTTGGCATCATTTATTAGTGAGATGAAAAACAGAAAACAGTTTTCTTGTCAATTTAGTTACATGCATTTTTATCTCTGATAAAGATTTCTTCTTAACGAGATGACATTTTGAACTATACATAGAAAATATGAAAATCATTAGTATTAACACCACTAATGCTACAGTTGACATAATTCCACTGCCATTAAAAAAGGGGTTGGGAAGATCTAATCCCTTGAAAGCAATTAGTAGCAATTATTAGGTAAACTACAACTCTAATTATTTTGCTTCAATATAATGCATTTTATTCAAACTAAACTGTAAAATCCAGTCAGGTGCATTAAACTTCCATTCAGTTTCTATTTTTTCAACCTATTTAAAACAGCAAGGCAGAGGTTCTATGTCTGCATTTTGTAGCAATACACTCATTTGGTACTCAATAAAATAATGGAAGGGAGGGGGAGTACAATTCACTTTGACCATGCAGGAATGAAAAAATACAAGATATTGAATAAAGTAAAATACACTTTGATTTTGGACACCTATTTAAAATTGTCTTAAAAGTGAAGACTAACAACAAAAGGAGAAATGAAAAGGTAGACTAAAAGATGAATGAATCTTCCAAAATTTCTGTTTCTTCTTTGAAAGGTTAATTCCTAAACATAATCTTGATATAAAAATTTAGTCTCCATATTTTACAAATCAGTACTTTCAACTGCAGAATTGGAGACAATATATTTCAGCCTAGAAAAACCAGAAAAATGGAAAGCAGAAGGACATGTTTTAAATCATGTAGTCCCTTGTCTTTCAGAAAATGTGAGCTGAGTCAGGTCAGGGCAAAGTGTTTGAAATCAGAGTAAAAGAACTCTACACTATGGATGAGAGAAAAACTAAAAATAAAGACAGAATTCACAGCTCATTACTTTTCTGTTTGGCAAAGTTTTAAAGATCTGTTGATTTGAGCAACGAAAGCAATAGAAAAAACTAAAGACATGATTTATATAATATTGCTGAATGAGACAAATGCAAGTTTCAGCCTCTTTAGACTCTGTTCTTGATACATTTACAAAACAAACTTATCTTGTGTACAAGACATACTCAAATATAAGCTACATTGGAAAGCATCTGTGCCCCTTGGGCCATTTTTAGGAAGAATGCCAAGAGCTAAATCAAGTGTTAATTGTCAAAGGTCAAAGGGAACGGTATTTCACTATATTTTACAATGGAAATCTTCCAAAACAATTGCAGATTTCCAACAAAATGGAGGTACAGGTAAACATGGCTCATCTCCTCACACAACCACAGCAAAAATTACAACTAAACTACAAAATAACTATCACCCAGAATCTTCAGAATATTGAACTGTATGGAAGTTCAACAACAACGAAGGAATTAAAGAAATCACATTAATTCAGATGGGTAGGAGGGGCAGAGACATGGGGACATGGAACAGGCATGGAACAGTCCCACTCCCATGTGTGGTGCATAAAATCGGGAGAGATATTTCAGGAGCAAGGGATTCCCAGCCCCACACCAGACCACCCAGCCCAGGGTTCCAGTGCCTGAGACAGAAGTCCCCATAACTTCTGGCTATAAAAAGCATTGGGGGTTGGAGCAGTGGAAGAAACTGCAGGATTCGCAGGCGTCACCTCTTAAAGGGTCTGCAATGGACTTAGGATGTATGCAGACTCACTGTCTGGGCTCCAGCACTAGGGCAGCAGCTTGACAGACACCAGTGGTACACAGGGAGAAACAAAGTGTCTGCCATTAAAGTGAGCACCAGCAGACAGCTTTCTCCCAGACAAAACTCCAGAGGCCAGGCAGCAGCCATTGTTCATTTCCTGAGGCCTCTACCACACAGACCCACAGACTGGCCGCACCATATCTGAGACTCCATCAACCTGGTTCACACAGATTGCCCCACCAGGTAATTACTTAAGGCTCTACCCCATTGAATTTATGAGTGTAATTTTCTACAACAGGCAATGCTACTAGGACAAGGAGTCAAAGCAGCCCTACCTAATACACAGAAACAAACACACGGTAGCAGTGAAAATGAGGAGATAAAGAAACATGGCCCAAATGAATGAACAGATCAAAACTCCAGAAAAAGAACTAAACAGAATGCAGATGAGCAATCTATTAGATGCAGAGTTCAAAACACTGGTTATGAGGATGCTCAAATAACTCACTGAATACTTCACAGCATAAAAAAAGTCCCAGGCACAAATAAAGATTACACTAAGAGAAATAAATAAAAACCTACAGAGAATCAACAGTAGAGTGGATGAAAATGAGAATCAAATTAATGGTGTGGAACACATGGAAGAAAAAAAATTCAATCAAAATAGCAAGAAGGAAAACAAGGACAGAGTAAGAAGCCTCTGGGACAACTTCAAATATACCAACTTCAAATCACAGGGCTGCCAGAAGAAGAAAAGAAAAAGCAAAAAATTGAAAACTTGCTTGAAAATATAATGAAGGAAAACTTCCCTAATTTGGTGAAGGAAATAGACATACAAGTCCAGGAAGCACAGGGAGTCCCAAACAAGTTGGACCCAAACAGGACTACACCTAGACACATCATAAGTAAAATGCCACAGGTTAAAGATAAAGGGAGATCTTAAAAGCAGCAAGAGAAAAGCAGTTGTCTACAAAGGAGTTCCCATAAGACTATCAGCTGATTTCTCAAACGAAACTTTTAAGGCTAGAGGGATTGGCAAGAAATATTCAAAGTGATGAAAAGCAGGGAACTATAGCCAAGACTGTTCTACCCAGCAAAGCTATCAGTTAGAATTGAAGAGCATAGAAAGAGTTTTCCTGAAAAGAAAAACTAAAGGAGTTCATCATCACCAAGACATTATTATATGAAATGTTAAAGGGACTTATTTAAGAAAAAGAAAATCAAAATTATGAACATAAGATGGCAATAAACACATACCTATCAACAATTGAATCTAAAAAAACAAACTAATCAAATAAGAAGAGAGACAGAATCATGGATATGGAGAACATTTTGATGGTTGCCAGATGGGAGCAGGGTTGAGGGAATGGGAGAAGAGGTGAGGGCATTAGGAAGTACAACTAGGAAGTTACAGAATAATCACGGGGATGTGAAGTACAGTATAGGCAACTGAGTAGCCAAAGAGCATATACGCATGACCCATGAACATAAGCAAAGGTGTTGGGATTGCCTGAGGGAGTCGGGGGTGCTGTGTGGGAGGAGTCAAAGGGGGGAAAATTGGGATGACTATAACAGCATAATCAATAAAATACAAATTTTTAAAAACATGTATTTTCTAACATATTTCACCAGATTATTTACATACTCTGCTTTAATACAATGCATTGTTACACTTCATTAAATAAGAGATACAGAATTTTAAGTTCTTGGTTTTCTCATTCATCTCATTACTTTTTATCTGAAATTATGAAACCAAGACATTGATATTAACATATAGATTCAATGTTAATATTCAACATATGTATCCATTATTTAATCTATAGAAATTACCATTTTTTCAATACCAAGTAGGTGCAGGATTTTAACTTCTTGGTTTTCTTGTCCATATCCTCATTAACTTTTATTTTAAATTATGAAATAAGTAAAATTAAACATTAACATTTAGATTCAGTATTAACATTCAACACTTGCATCCATATTTATTCTGGAGTTAGCCTTTTTTGTTCATTAACATGTAAGCTAAAGTATTATACAAATATAAAAGGGTCATCTCTTTAACCTCTAATCATACTATGCTGTATTAAATAGGACAATAGGTGTGAAAGCATAGGCTTGGATATTAACATATCATAAGAGTTCAATAAAATACTCCTTGAACTGAAATCTAAGCATATATAAGTCAAGTATAACTTTGAATTGCACTTAGTACGTTAGATTTTCATGAAATAATTGAAGCCACCTATTTTAACTAGTATATTACTTTGAAATTAGTTATTTAAAATGTGGTACCTACTCTAAATATGATTATACAACCTCTAGTAATATAAATTAAATCTATCTATTGTATATACTGTTTTAATTAAATCATATAAAATATATTCTAAAGTGGCCCAATAAGCCCCTCTGGCTACTCCCATATGTATTTGTAATAAAAGCCATTGAGTTCCTTTCTAAAGTAACTAATTAGGGAGGTGGCAATTAAATTTCATTCACTTATGCTAAGTAAATGTGTTATTTCATCTTTACATGTGTAAGAAAAAATAAAACTAAGAATAAGAATTGGAGACTAAAATGCTCTATCAGGGCTACAAAGGTACAAAGTGAATCATCATGT